ATATTATAACATCGACTGAGATAAGGAATAAAATGAAATATTAAAATCATGATGTATCTCGCTGCATTGTGCGAGTACGCTTCTAGTATAGATATATATATGCAATCCATATATACGTGTCAATCAGACAGCCATGCAACCTCCCTCCATCAGACAGACAACTATGTTTCACGTGCACCGTCACCACTCCTACCTGCTTTCCTTTTATAAACACATCTTCTGCTCCACCACCTATCACCCTGTATATATATGGCAACTGATCACCTCATTAACCGCCGACAGGTAGCCAAGACCGCCACCGCTGTAACCGTGGGTGGATCCCTGTTGGTCCTGTCGGGGGTTATACTGGCCGCCACGGTGATTGGTCTTGTGGTGGCAACCCCGGTGCTGGTTATGTTCAGCCCGGTGTTGATACCAGCCTTGATCGCCGTTTCTCTGATATTCAGCGGATTGATGAGCTCCGGGGGATTGGGTGCGGTGGGGACGTTTATATTCTACTGGTTGTACCGTCAGCAGAAGATATGATGGATGAGGATGAGGATGAAGGCGGAGCAGTTGAAGAAATTAGAATTAATGAAGCAAGTTGTAATAATCAAGGGTTGTGACATGCATGATCTAATTAATAAAGTAGTAATTTCAAATTATGAATCTAACATATGATAATACATTGGTTAAATGATAATTATGAATCTAACATGATACATTCCTGGTAATTTGACCAAAGTTATCTATATAGGAGCTGGTTTAAATGTTATATACATTCCTGGTAATTTGACCAAAGTTTTCATATATATATATATATATATATAGGAGTTGGTTCAAATATTAACCAAAGTTATCGTGTTAATTTTGTTAACAGATTTTGGTCATTAATTTGAATAATAAACGGTTATGTTTTAATGATATTTAAAAATTAATTATTAAATTTATATTTTCAATTAACATATGTTAACAAAATATCAAAGGGTATTTAGGTAAAAAGTAATTTATCTTTGATACACGAGTTGTCAGACATATGAACAACTTGTGTATATCCTCAAAACACATCAAACAAAAAAGATTAGACATATGAACAACATATAAACCGTATGAACATCTTTTGTATATTCATGAGCCAACTCTGTTATATGTACATGAACACTTACGAAGCTTGTGTTCACATGAATCACAGATGTTGTTCATATTTATGTGATGTGATTGTGCATATGTATCGATATGAACATCTATTGCATTTGATATGTGTTCATTTAAACGGATTCAAATGTCATACTAATCACTTACCAATATGAACATTTTGATCATTTTCTTCATTATCGGAATTCGAATTGCGAATGTAGTCGTAGACGATTTTGTCATTTCCATTGTTGTCAATCTGTTTTACAATAGGATTATCCATATTATTCGGACGATACGAAAATCTTTTACACTTACGAACAAATATCATTATATGTAGAACATCATTTGTAAACTATGATCATGAACACGTATGAAAATAAAATTCAATATTCTATCATGATCAATTAGTTAGATCTTTAATATTTGTAACTCTCAATTAATTATTAAAGAGTTACATAAATGTCAAATTACATAATTACTCTTGTATTTAATATATAAGTTACATTTGAATATAAATAGAAGATGAAATATGATTGGTTAAATTTGGTTAGTATAGTTAACACAAATTTCTTGGTTAGTATTTGAACCAAACTCTCTCTTTTTCTCTCTCTCTCTCTCTCTCTCTCTNGGTTAGTATTTGAACCAAACTCTCTCTTTTTCTCTCTCTCTCTCTCTCTCTCTCTTTCTCTCTCTCTCTCTCTCTCTTTCTCTATATATATATATATATATATATATATATATAGCYRAAGGTTATTTTGAGAAGTGGTAAATATTTGAGAAGTAAATAAATGATCTTAGCCCTTTATACGGTCATGATAAGAAAAATGAGAAAGGGTAGTTTCGTAACTTTTATAAATAGACGGTAAAAGGGTTTATATGTGAACCTATGTGATTCATATATGAACTATATGTTTATATGTGAACTCGTCTAATTCACATATGAACTATGTAAACCCGTGTGATTCACATATAAACTAATTAAATTATTCACATATGAACCTATTAGTTTATATATGAATTAGTTAAATAGTTTGTATGTAAACTAATTTAAGGTTCACATATGAACATATATTTATATATGAAATTATGAATCACATGGGTCTATATATGAATCCGTTGGCCGTTTATTTGTACAAGTTACAAAACTATTCCTACATCTTTCGCATACTTATACGAGGAATTATCCAGGTTTCACGGTCAAAGCCACAAATATTGATCAGATAAAGGGTTATAATCACTTCTTTACTTCTCAAATGAACCTTTCCCTATATACATACACACACACATATATATATATATATATATATATATATATGTACACATACATACATATATATATTACTAATTTCCGGATGAATTTTTTTATATACATAATTAAGAGTGAATTACACATTTGGTCCCTCACGAGTGCCTCCATTTTGATTATCGACCCTCAATATTGGTTTAAACATCGGGTTTGAAAGCTCAAATTGGTATGTCTGACTTAACACCATTAGTTGGACCGGTTAACTTGGTCATGGGCCTCCCACGTCATTTTAGATGACGGACCAAAAATGCAATTTATTTTATAACCTGTCTCTTATTTTTCTTTGAGTGAATTATATTTTTGGTCCCTTATCTAAGTTATTTTTTTTGTTTTGATCCCTAGTCTATACCAACCTTTTTGGTTTTTATCCCTAAAATTATAAATCATTTGACAAAAACTCTTTTATATGCATAAAGTATTATATATTAATGTATATTATTTAAAATTCAAAATTATAAGTAAATTATGCATAAGTACAACTTATTAAAGCTCCATGTTTGAAATCGTGTAACTAACTACAGATAAACATAATCAAATAGAAGATAAACATCTCATTTTAAAATATAAAAAATCTAAAATATAATTAGGATAATTACCGAGTTCCAACAAAATAATTAATTATTATCTTTATAAGAAAATTATATTATTAAACCAAATATAAATTACTTCATTATTAAATCTAAATTAAATTGTTAAAAAAATTGAATTAAAAAGTTATACAAAAAAATTGGAATTTTAAATAGTTAATTTGATACTAATATCGATATATTTTTGTCAAATTTTTATGATATTTTCAAATTTAATTTTATTAAAAAACCATCATCATTTTTTCAAAATCACATAAGGCCATATTATAACATTAACTGAGAAAAATAATAAAATGAAATATTAAAATCAAGATGTATCTCACTGCATTGTGCGAGTACTTTTCTAGTATTTTTAAACCTATGTACATATAATCTCTCAATGAATTAAGTTTAATAAATTTAT